GAGTGTTTCCGATTGAGATAGTTGACCTATACTTTCTCTGGTTTCTTTTTCACAGTCTTCAAAAATCTCTACATACCAAAGAAAAAAATCCCCTTCAAAAAAATTGATAATATTGTAGTTTTCTTGGTGAATTCTTCCATATTCTAAATTATCTAAAAAACTCTTTAATTCATTGGGCGGGGAAAGAGAAATATTTTTTAAGTTGATAGGGTCTTTAAAACTGAATTTCTTTTCTAAGCCTTTAAGAGAAATTATCTTTAAAACAAAAGCGAAGGAGGTTTGTAGGGCAAAAAGAGATTTATTTATTTTTTCATTCTCATTTTCGTCAATTTTTACATTAAAAAAAGATGAAAGAGAACGAACTTTTTTTAAATAATCTTCGCTTCTATTTCTGTCTGTTTCCGATAGGTTAAAAAGTCTTTTTCATTCACTAAATAATATGTTTATTTTGTTTAAGATGTGGGAATTTTCTAAAATGAAAAATAATCGACGAGCAAATTTATCTAATGATTTAGTTTTTTGAAAATCGTTTATCAGGTTTTCTGAACTAAACACCTTTTTTTCATCATTTAAGGTTAGATAAATTAATTTTCTTATAGTATTTTCGTTAAGGGAAAACATACCAATAAATTGCTTATTTTCGTAGAACCCCAACTTGTAACCATCATACAAAATAGCATTGATGCGTTCTGCTTCTTCCTGTTTAGAAATATATTCTTCTTCAACTTTTTTTCGTGTTTTGTCAATGTTTGCTGGTGATGAGAAGTAGTCTGGTTCCTTAAATTCAATAATCGTGCGGTTGTTAACTAATGCATCAAGCCTTTTTTTCGATTTTAATTGATGTTCGAATTTTCAAGTAAGAGGTAGTTCGTTAGCATCGAAAAAATTTTTTATTTCTCTGGTAAAATGAATTTTTAAATCTTCCTCATTTTTAATATTAGGTTTATTTTCAATCAGAAGTTTTTTATGAAGTTCCTCAATATTCTCCAAATTATATTTTTTTTGTTTATTACTCATTTTTATTTTTTCTCTTTTATAAACTCAGTTAGTAAGTTTTTTGCCCTTTCAAAACCATCATTAGCCTCTGCTTCTATGAAATAAAAATTACTTCCCCATTCATTTGGACCTTTTAATT